GTGGAGTCAACAAAGGAAGATCCCTATGAAATGCACCCCTAAAGTAACCAACCAATCCAAGAAAAAACACGTCTCAGGGCTCCATTGGTCCTTCCCCCTGGGTGGCCCTGCCCCCGTTTGGCCAGGCCCAAGCACACTCCTCTACTGTGTTCTGCTCAAAAGGACCCTGTCTACCAGAGCAGAGCACTCTCTCTCCAAGGATCTATCCCTCTCGCTCCCTAGATCCTTCACCCTCTTTCTCTCTTTTTTTAATATTATTTTTATTTTTTAGACAGAGCCCCACTCCGTTGCCCAGGCTGGAGTGCAGTGGACCAATCTTGGCTCACTGCAACCTCTGCCTCCTGGTTCAACTTGTGGTCACATCAGCACTTCTGCTGGTATAATTTGTTCCAGCTGCAGAGTATAGCTGGCCTGCAAATCAAGAACCAGAACGAGGACAGGTAGGAATAACTCAGTGGGTTGGATAATGTGCAAATCACTATACTTCTTGCTATCAATCTACTTTTTTTTCACTCAGAATATTTGGAAGAAGAAAGATTTATCTTTAGCAAAACAGCCAATCAGCCACCCTCTGAAGAACTAGTTTGTCTGATTATCTTCTCCTGAAGCCTAACCCTCTGAGCAGTAATGCTTTGTAATCATGACATTATGTATTTTTTAAACTTCTATTGCCCACCATAGAGTGGCAATTTGAACACCTAATGTTAAATAGCTACTGCTTTTGTTCACTGCTCCCCTAAAAAAAAGTCCCTTAGATTTAAAAATATTCCTGAGCATTCTTGTTTATTATTCTTGCATTTCAAATGCTTCTATGTGGCCTGGAATGTACACATATACAAAATAATACATATCACTCTGTTAACAAAGTGCTTTATAGCCTCAATTCTGGATGCAATATAGTTCCAATCAAATATGAAATATAATACTACCTACTGATATAGGCATAAGTTAAAATGGTAGAGGCTTAACTAGTCATTCAGCATTGAACTTCATCCTGATTAGAAACTCTATTGATTTACATTGAAATCAGTTAGAATTGTATCCCAACCATTTAAAATTCAGCCATAATTAAATACTCAATAATCACTACATACACAGTGCAAGTGAGCTGATATTCTCTTCTCCTGGCATGGCAACCTTTCAGGGACAGGTGCAATCATAACTGCAACCTCATTATGTAACCTGTCACCTTCTAAAATTCATTGCTCCACTAAGTACCCAAATCCAAAGCTATGGTTGGAATATTTTCCTTCTCTTTTATGCATAAACTGACTTGGAAAATTCTGTGACTACACAACGTGTTTTCAGATAACATTGTTTTAGAAAAGACAAAGGGAAAGAATGTGCCATACACTTGTAGCACCAACTTTGTTTTGCTTTTTACAGAATTGTGTAGTGAGTTGGAGATTCATCCCATACCCCTTTCCATTCCTCTTTTATTACATGTTGCTGAGGTGAATTTGCTAAAACCCAGAATTCTGTTAACTCCTCAGATCAGAATGGAAGTTATAGCATTTTATGAAATGTATATGGTAATTTTCACCCATTGAAAAAGCTTTAGAATTTTGCTAGATGTAGACTAGTGAACCTCATAGGCTGTAGCCTAGAGAAATAAAATTTCTGAATGGCAGGAGAGCTGATCTTTCACATGTTTTATACGTATACTATACACACTTTTATTATTGCTTATTTGTTGGTGGGTGGCAAAATTGTGGTTTATTTAAAATAGAATCAAAATTTATGTGATATTGACTAACAAATCTACAGTGTTTAGATGTTATATCAAGCAACTGTCTTTGTTCAAATAAATGAGAAACAAACTAAATGGCTTGCGAGAGGTTTTTTTTGGTTTGAGATGGAGTTTCGCTCTTGTTACCCAGCCCGGAGTGCAATGGCGCGATCTCAGCTCACTGCAACCTCCACCTCCTGGGTTCAAGCAATTCTCCTGCCTCAGCCTCCCGAGTAGCTTGGATTACAGGCATGCGCCACCATGTCCAGCTAATTTTTTGTATTTTTAGTAGAGGCAGGGTTTCATCATGTTGACCAGGATGGTCCCGATCTCTTGACCTTGTGATCCACCCACCTCAGCCTCCCAAAGTACTGGGATTACAGGCGTGAGCCACCCCGCCCAGCCTGCAAGAGGTTTTTACCTCTCTGAGAAAGAAAAACATCATGATACAAAATGAGTGAATTTTGAAAGCTGAATTTGAACATCTCTGATCACACTCTTCTAATTCTGCCCATAACTGGTCTCCTTCCACATAAGGCTAAATCTAAAAAGTAGACAAAAGGAGAGAGGCTTAAAACTGGTGAAGTCACTCTTGAACGGGAACCAGTTATTTTATGGGTCTATGTTCATATGTCAGAATAAGCCATTCTTTTGTCATCATTAAGTCAAAAATAGTTGCAGCAGTGAGCAAAATGTGTGGAGCACTTTTTCAATAACAGTACACACAGACATGCTTTAAGGTTATCAAACTGCTATTGGATACAGCTAATGTGCAGCATCAGCTAAGATTCCTGATTATCATTATGACTGATTAAAAGAAAAAGTACCAGATGAAGCAAAGAAAGGAAAACAAAACAAAAAATTAGCACTTTTCACTTTATTTATTTTGTCAGAGAGAAGCATTTAACACAGTTGTTTTGGTAAGAAATAAGAAAGTGCTAATTAAGTTCTTGTCAAATAAATATCTGTCTTCTCACCATTGCTGATAAATTTCAACATGTAGGATATGCTAACGCAGCTTAGTAACTTTATTGCTTTGACATAAAACATAAGAATCTTAGTACAAAGTGTTTAGATCAAATTACATTTATGGCCTAAAAAGAGAGACTGTTGCTAATGTCTCTAGTCAAGAGGAGCATAATTCCCTGTGTCAGATTATCACTCTTATTTACATCTAAATCCGGAGTATAACCATGTGTGGGAGAGTAGTAAGTGGATAAAATCTGTTTCTAAAGTACTGTTTTCACTACGTAATACTTTAAGAAAGGTCCTACCCTGCCATTATTTTTACATTTTTTCTGTGATGAGAAAATAATAAATATGGACAGTTAATCTCTAAAGAGAAGGTTTTAGCATCCAACTCACCTGACAAGATTTTCCTTGTCTCCAGGTCCCTTACAAAGTTACATATTCAGTTCTTCAATCTTCAGCCTTGGGCTTCTGCTGCAACAACGACTGCCTTTGTCTTCTCTCTCTGGGAACTCTTTCCTGCCATAAAAGTTAAAATAAAACAACAATAGAAAATCAGGATATGAGGGAAACAATTTTAAGGAAGAAAATTTCTGAAACTTCACACTGTGTGAAAGTGCTTAACTTATACCAACCTCATGTTTTTCTTCCTCAGAAATGAAGCCTCGTTTTCCTCCTCTAGTTTTCTGGGGGGAAAAATCTAGTGTTTAATTAATGATAAAAATAAATTTCCTTTGTTAAACATTCTTGCTTAAGTTAGGTACTTAAAAAATTAGCTGTTTCTACTTAATACTATGTTGGGTCACTGCATTTTGTTACCATTTATGCCACAGGAAAGAAAAAGTAACCAATTAAATATACTTTATAGTACTTCACTTGTAAATAAACATGTATCTGATAGAAACATTTAATTCTACCATATTATTTTAAAGAATTTTCTCAACATTTCATAATTGTCCATAATTATGATTTATGTAGAGCATTTAAGTTTTCCTAACTTATCACATATGACTTCTACAGCTAACTCATACCATGCAATCTGCCCCTAGATAATTAAGAATCAACTAAGTTAGTCATTCAAAAAGACTAAATTTATGAACTCTCTGTTTTCATTTATGTTGGCAATCAGTGTGTTTTAATTATATTAGGAAAGTAATTAGGAAGAAAAATGAAGACTATATCCAGAAAAGGCCTTTAAATGCAGACCCTACATCTACTATTCTTACTTCAAAAGAACAATACTGATACTTGCTCCTTGATATATCTACCATGACCCATAATCACTGGCATCCCCTGCATGCCTGCTAGAAATACAGAATTTCAGGCCTACTCCAACACATGAATTACAATCTGTTTTTCACCAAGAATCCTAAGTAGATGAAACACACATAAGTTTAAGGACACCAGTGTAGTCCCTCAAAGGGTCCTCAGGACGGGATGGTCCGTCCAGCCCTAGATGTGCCACAGGACCAAGGGCCCTTGGAAGAGATTGATTGTAGGTGTGTTGCACCCCTCTTCTTTCCCAAGGAGTGATCCGCCTCGGGATGGGCAGGTGATTAGGACACCTGCAGGTGGGAGCCAGACCCCCTACACTGAAGCTTTAGAAACCACAAGGAAGACCAGGAACGCAGGGCACTGCAGCCCCAAAACTGAGCCAGATGCTGACCCGCACCTGCAGGTAGGTGGACTACAGAGAAACGGCGCTGGAGTGCACTGGCCACACTCCTGTCAGCATGTCGCACCCCCACACACTGCACACACACAACACACACAGAAAGATACGTGCATATATACATACTCACACACACACAGAAAGACGCATGGAGACATCCAACACTTGCACAGAAACAACACTGCCAGGCAGCTCCTGAGGCTGTGCGCTTCTGCTCTCTGCAGGGAAGCCTCTAGTGGACAGAGCAGCCCCGCAGCAGGCAGACCATACCTGGAAATCCCAGCCGGGACAGCTTTCAAAGAGAGGCCCCTTCACACTGTCTGTGCAGGTCTGAAACATTCTGGGGATACTTGGGTATCGCCCTGGGCATCCGTGGAGCCCCGCCGGAACTTTTCCCAGCCTGGTTTGGCCTGCCAGATTCCTAAAATCGCGGGACCCTGGCGATGGTCTCCTGGAGAGGGGGTGAGGTTGCCCAACGTTGAGGCAGAAACAGAGGACCCCTGCTCTGCCAAGCCGCTGTTACCGTTCCCCAGGCAACAGTGGCAGTCACTGTGACGCGAGCCCCAGCTCCGCCCCTGCGCTTGTGACAGGCTGCTTGAGCATGCGCATTTGCGTGCCGGCTGGGGAGCAGCCATGTTGATGCTGTCCAGCTGCTGCCGCACAGGTACATGTTGGAGGCGGTGCCAGGGGAGGCCATAGGAAGGAGGCTGCAAGTCACAAGCAGCGCAGGACCCTGATAGTCCTGACCTCACTACCTCCTTGAGCCGACTCTCCTGTTCGGGTCGGGTGTAGGAGGAGTGCCCTTCAGACCGTGAGGTGGGCGCTCGGGACTGCTCTTCCCATTGGATTCCAGATTGGATGGAGTGGGCAGGGATCGGGTTCCATGGGGATGGAAATTCAGTTTGGTGAGGTGAGGCGATGGTCGCTGGACCACAGAAACATACCTGAAACCATCGGGGAGGGTGTCAGCAGTCCGTTCCCCAGCTCCATGAGCTGACTGACCCCTTTGACCTGGGCCACCCACCAAGGGCCCTGCCTTGGTCTCCAAGGCATATGGGCATAACAGTTCTTTAATTAATGCAATGCTTTCCAAATTGCGGTTTGCAGTGTCAATGTGATCTCTAGCAGAACTAGTTCATTTGTTGCCATGGTATCAAATATGTTTGAAAGATTTGATTAGTGTTTCATACTTTTCCTAATGTACTTAGCCTTAGGAATGCTCAGATTTTCAAAAGTCCTGAATGTTCCTTTTCAATGACATATTATTGAGAGATTGAGGCAGGCTAATAATTTATTATTAATATATATCTAATATAGAATGCAAATTCAATATAAAATGTAACCAGTGAAGCCTCTTTATTGTAGGTGAACTTTCTCTCCTTGTGCATTACTGAATGGAGGTTGCCTTGACTTGTGCCTTTTATCTCACAATGGGAGAGTGAATTGTTCCTGCAGAGGGGACCAAATATTGCTAGAGGACAACAGATGTGTGAGTAAATAAAGAGAACTGAAATGTAATATGACATCTGTTTCAAATTCCACATACATAACTGAAATTGTGTTAGTGTATTCATGAAGTTGTGCTCTCTTCCAGTATTAGAAGCTCAGTCAGGTTATCTCTATGATCTAAAGAAAACTGAGTTCACTGTTCTGCTTAGTTATGGCACCATGTGCTAGATAATGATAATCAAAATGGTAACAAATGTTTTCCTCTCCTGGTTGTGCACTGGAAAATGTTGGGCTAGCTAGAGAACTGTCTGCACACAATGATCATCTGAAAACTTTTAGTCGTGGCTTTGTGAATTGAATCAGTAGCTAAAGTAATTGAGGCTGTCATAAACTAGTATGCAGGCAGCGAATCAGTAGCCTTGCAGTAAAACCACCCACAGTCCATCACAGTATGTAAATGAGAGAGAATGGCTCATGCAACTTCCTTGTAATCATTTCCAAACTGTTAACTAAGAATGTAACAGTGCAGTCTTGCATGATATTTATACCTCCCAAAGGCATTACAGTCTTTAATTAGTACGATTACAATATACACTTATTAACAGCTAAGTTTCCAAAACTGTTCCAAAATAAATCGGGGTTCAAGTGTTCCAATATTGCAATCAAAAATTAGCAAGTCAAATTTTAAAAGGTTAATTTCCTTTAATATTAAGACAATTTGTGTATAAGGTGGGAGAGAAGTATCTTGTTGGAAATTGGTGAACTCACTTAAGGATATTTCAAATTTCATGCATTTTTTTCTTTCCTCATCTATTAATATATTCTCATGTCATGTATTTTCATTGAGAAAATTAATAGAGTTGGATATGTCCACATTATAAAAATCAATATTTTTCATTTTCTTCTTCAGCCTTTTTTCTCTTTCCAGTAGAAGGATCTTCTCTCTTATCTGCTCTTTAATGCAAGTGCTTGGTCATAATTTTCGTTGTCTTGCAAACTATTACACAGTATGTAAAATAACACAGACATATTTTCTCACTGTACAAATTAATACCACAGGCTAAAAGGGCACCTCTTAGCATAAAAAGTAAAATTTGTTTTACTTAAGACTGTGCCAAAGCAAATGAGAAAATGATGCAATTATTCAGAATTTTAAATGCAGATGGCCAATTTTCCACATTTAGGGCCACAAATTCACATATTCCTTTGTCACTTAACACTTCTCTGAATTGCTCAGGCAATTGCTTAAACCCTTTAAGTTTGCCTTTGTGGTTTCAGCTGTAATGGTCTGGATCTGGTGCCATCTGTAAGCCTGGAGTGTTAGCCATGCATTGAAATCACTCATGTTTCTTTCACAGGTCACTGCAGGCTAGTAGAGAGGCAATTCCTTAGTCAAAACTGCAAAGCTTACTTCTGTACAGTGGTGACCTGTCCTTGGTGCATAATAAATTCTATACAAATGTCCCTACTAAGCTGCTCTCTATTGATGAGAGGAAATGAATTAGGAAGGAAACTGTCATTTTAAACAAGCATGATTGTATTCACGTGGAGCTGTAGAGTGATACTGGATCCCTCAGAGCTGACAATCTGTTATAGAGGCCAATGATATCCACTGTGCATTCATGTTGAGATTCTATTGTAGTCCAGCAGAGAGATTAGAAAGTAACTGTTGTCTTCTCCTTGTCAAATTCATCTTTAGGATATGAGAATGTTTCTGGCATATCTGTGTCCTCATCTGAGTGATTTTACCCAGAGTAGTTTATGAATGTTAATGGCAGCATTAAAGGGATGAAAAGCCATGTGCTAACACCTACCTGGGGACAAAGGAGCAAAAACCTTTTTTTGCCATAACTTCTGACAAAAAATATAGGCAATTTCCTTGCATATAACATTGCTAATCTTATTGTAATCCATAACAGAAATAGATACAGTAAATGTAATAAGATGAAGTAATTGCTGTGCAGGAGAGTAAGGTCAGCTGAACAACTATGTTTCCAGAAAGAAGCAGAAAACACTCAATACTATTACACCAGATGAGCATACATTAGGAAGAGTTGTATTCACACAATATTTGTTTTTGTATAATGTAAAAAATATATTTATCTTTGAATAGTTTTTCTTTTTCCCAAAGACATTAAGATTTTAAAAATTACATATGGCCATTTCTATCACAACAATAATTTTTTCATTGGACAAGAGACAGTAAATAAGATATACTTAAAATAGGTGAAATAAGTCAATAGACTTTCTATAAGTGGCTGAATTTTCTTCTATACTGAGATGATTGCAGTTAGCATTATTACCATCTTTTTAATTTTTTAAATTTAATTATATTTTTTAGTCTTTAATTCTTTGCTACCTTGTCTAAAATGACTTTTTCCCTTAGCTAATGACTGATCAATGAAGTTTAAACTGCATCAAGCGAAAAAAAATCATTGGAATATGTTGTTATCATTGAAAGAGTTAAATTAGAAGTCAAACATGATGCAGGAGCAGAAAACCAAATATCATATCTTCTAAATTATAACTGAGAGCTAAACATTTGATACACTTGGACATACAGATGGCAACAATGGACATTTGGGTCTATTAGGGTGCGGAGAGAAGGAGGTGGACAAGGGTTAATAAACTAACTATTGGTACGATGCTTAGTACCTGGGTGACAGGATCAATCATATCTTAAACCTCAGTATTATATAGTAAATCCATGCCACAAACCTGCACATGTAGCCCCTGAATCTAAAATAAAAGTTGATATAATAAATAGAAGTCTTAAATAAATAGACCCTCCATTAAATTAATTAAATTCTGGAAATAATAAAGAAATAAAACCTTGGAAGCTTCAAATAGTATTCATAGATATTTAATTAAATATTCCTGAAATAAAACTCAAAATCAGATACTAAATTTTAAAATTAAGCTATATTCTTTAACTAGCAGAATTGAATGAGTTTTACTTACCTCCAACATAATTATTACAACTGGATTTAAATGTACAATCATTCAGCAAGCAATGGGTTGAGTACATACATGCAAGCAGACAGCACACCCCAGAAATTGGATCCCAAAGTTTTCTAGTAAATCTATTATTGAATAATAAAAACAAGTCCATTGTCCTCACTAGAGACCCATCAAAATAGGGATCACATATTGCCATTATAAGGATAAAACTTACCTATAGAAAAGACCTTTTCATACTTGAGACTCTTTGTTTACAAATTAGAACAAATCACCTAAAAACTCAAACTTTTAAATTCTAATAAAAAGTCTGAGATTTAGAAATCAGACTGTCTGACAGTGATCAATTGGAGTTCCTAGCATCAGGTGCACATGCTTTCCATGTGTCCATTTTCCTCCAGCACCTCATCCTGCCAATTCTTGTACATTTCATGGAGTAGGTGCAGTCATGCATGGTAGCAAGAAAGGGTCTGTTCCTGGATACCTCCCACACATGGATCAAACTAGTGGCTGATGAGGATAAGGGAGAAAAGTAGCAACTATTTATTTGACTGAGATGATTCACATCAAGCATTTAAAGATGGGTATTCTATGCACTAAAAAATATTAGTATATTGAAAAATATATAATAGTTTCCATTAAGAAAACACAAAACCTCTTTAGAGATGTAGAGAGCTCATTTAACCCATTCCTTTAAAAATTACTTTTAAGATCTTAATTTTTTTGTAAAGAAATGTAATAAACTGTTGCTCTTTAATTTTACACTTAGATAAATTTTAGTTTATCTTCATAAGATAAATTTTAAAAGTAATTGTAATGGGTTCAAAAAATGTTTGCCATTGCATGAAAGCATTGACTTGTTTTTTCTTGCAGCTAAAAATTCCTCCTGCAACATTTATTCAGAGTTTGAATGTGGAAATCGTGAGTGTATCAAGCACCAGCTCACTTGTGATGGCATTCCCCATTGTAAGGACAAATCACATGAAAAACTGCTCTACTGTGGTAAGTGTCCAATACAGGGTTTGCTTATTTCAGATAGTTTTCTGATTCCTTTTACAATTTTTGGTTTGCTTGTCTCTGTTTGCTTTATGTGGATAACTTCTTTAATGTCTCTCATAAACCTGTTGATCTAAGGTAATTGAGTTGGATTTGCTTGTGTTAAAATGAGGCATTTTATCTTCTATCTGGTAGCCATGATATTTACTAACTAATTTTTGCATGATTTTCTATCCACAAAATAGGTTTTTCTTAAAAAGATGGGAGTCGCATTATGTTGTCCAGACTGATCTCAAACTCCTGAGCTCAAGCAACTTTCCGCCTTGGACTCACAAGTTGTTCAGGTTTGAACACCACACTTAGCCAGAAAATGAATATTTTTCAAAGTAGGAGCTAATCTTTTAACTTCCTAGTTATTCATCTTTAGCAATAGGTTTTAGGCTTACTTTCCTTAAAATGTAACTCAGAAATTTCAGTGATTTTTGAATATTACAGGATTACTCTGAAGCAAAGTTGCACCAATAGGCAATAGCACATTTTTAGGTTGTTATCAAAGTCTTGTCAATTCTATTTATGTCTCCAAGATTAGCATGGTAGCTAGTGTCCTTTGGTACTAAGGCTTATTGCCTTAGTCATGGCCCACATCATACACTGAATTCCACTACCTATGCTTCTGTTGGCAACACCAAGCGATAATTAACCTCTATCCTCCCTGAGGAGTAGAGATTGGCTTTTCCACTGTAGTAAGCAACTGAGATTTACCTTCATTGCAATAATATTTTTTCTTGGAAATTTGTCTTTTTGTAATCATTGGTAATCATTATATATTTGATCCAGAATTTTAACAACTTGGTGTGATTTATTTTTGCTTCTGGAAATCTAATGGCATTGAGATTGTGTGCTATGCAAAATTTAGGAATCTATATCTGAAATTGCTGCATTTTATATCTACTCTTCTATTCCATTATCTGGGTAATAATTACACCTAAATAATTAATGAAAAGTTAGAACAAGAGGAAGACTGAATCTGTGAGATCCACAGACAGTCCTGTCATTCTATTGTATTACAGAATAACACACCATCATTTAAAATGAGAGTCTAGTATAATTTGGCCATAACTGATCTATAACCAATGGCCTAAATAATTTACCTGAAATAATATATTCACTTTAATAAATGGTTATATTCTATACAATATATAAATATTAAAACAGATAAAATTTTTTGTAATCAACTCACAGGTTTGCAATTACCATAAATTGACTTGACATTATATTTCATGTCATTTTTATCTTTGTAGAAGTCACATGATATTTGTGTAGAGCAGGAGTTGGCTAACATTCTCTATGAAGGTTCAGCTAGTAAATAGGCTAGGTTTTGTGGGTCATATACACTTTCTGTCACATATACTCTGTTGTTTATTATTTACCATCATTTTAACATGTAAAAATTATTCTTAGTTCAAGAGCCACATAAAAACAGTCTCACAGCCTAGATATGTCCTATGGGCAATAGTTTGCCAACCCCAGGTGTAGAGTATAGGCTTTGGACTCACACCTGAGGTTAAATCTGTGTTCCCAAACCTTCTAGTGTAACTAGGCTAGTGTCCAAACCCTAATGTGCTAGGGTAAGCAACATAACAAAACTCTAAGTTGTAGTTTTCTACTATGAAACAACTAGCTCTTATAGCTGTTGAGAGCATTAAACCAGAATGCATTTATCTACATATATTCAATACAGAGCCTGGGGCAAAGCTGGCATTTAATACATGGCAGCTATTATTATTTTAAATGGTACCTTCTGTCCCAAATCAAAGAATGTCAAGAAACCTTAATAATGGTAAATAGAACTCAGAAGGTAATCCTTTCTCAGGGAATTCTGTAGATATTTTCATTTTTAAGAGAAATGTATTGACATTTAGATGACTCTATGAGACACTGATTCAGGAATACATGCTTTGTTGCTTTTTTTCTTGTTATAAAATCCTTGCAGATAGATGCCAAGGATATAGAAAATGGATGTTGGAGTGTTTTTGTTACTTTTGAGGTTCATATTTATTTCTTCAGAATGGAATATGTGATGCATATTTATTTCTGTGCTACTTTACAGAAGTACCAGAAACAATAATGTGGGCATAACTTGAAAAGATCTCCAGGCATCAATCACTAAAGTTAAGACACTAAGTCAAAAAGGGTCCTTGCTGAATGAACTACTCTTTGACAATTCATAAACATGCTAATCCAGAGCTTTTTTACAGCACAGCACTTTTTTATAGATCCATAATCCAGTCATTGTGAATGAAATATCTGTGATTTCCATTTTGTACAAGTGCTTCTATATGATCTCTGGTTGAGTTTATACTTTTATTTATAAGAAAATGGAAGCTGTTAAAGAGGCTTCAAGCATTGCTATAATCACCATTGCATTCCACATGGCAAGTTATGTGATGGAGAAAATGACTGTGGAGACAACTCTGATAAATTAGATTATAAAGAGAAATACTTGTTCCATCAGTATAGGAGTATTGGTGTGCTAAGTGTTTCCAGAACTTTTCCAACATTTGTTTCTGAGAGATCTATGGTATGTAAGAACTAGTAACATCTAGGGATCACTCTTTGGTAAATGCTGCTGGAATGTAGTTGCTAAAGTTATGTGAAAATTGTCAGTATGTTCTCTATTTCTGTTTTCTACTCCTTTGCTCACTTTAAAACTCTTATAATTTCTTACCTCTTCAGTTCCACCTTGCTGGATCTGAACATCTCTACCAGAATGAGTAATATGGAATTTTTCTGCTCCGAAAAATGTTCCATTTTGATCCTTAGTTCTCTGTTTTACTCATGACCACATTTTCCTTACCACTGGACAGGAAACCTTGGTGGTCTCCTTAATTTCTCCTTCCCACATATTCAGTTACCAACAAATATTCCAGTTATTTCAAATAACTTCTATTTCAATCCACTTTAAGCCTGGATTCACAGAGTATCTCTTTACTTAGTTTTACTGCCTATGCTTTTTTCAGTTCATATTTATGTTATCAGTCATGCTAATACTGTTTAACATTTTCACAAAGTGATTATTATAATAGATGATCAAGCCAAACTACCTGAGTTAGAAAAAACTGGTGCCCAAACATTTATTGTCTATATTTGGGTATGACACTTAACTGACCCATGTCTCAGTTTCCCAGACAGCAAGGTAGAAAAAATAATTAAGTAAGAATAACAATATTAAATTAGGTTAAAACAAGATTTGGCAATAGTGAATACTATGTTGGCACTGGCTATAAAATATGTGTATTGCACTGATAAAGAATCATTTAATGGAATACAATGTTTGCAGAATAAATGCTGTTTTAGTCTGACATTAAAAGCTTTCTTAAATCTAGACACAACAGTTACTTCTAAACCATTATCACTTTAAAGCCTTCTCATTCAATGAACACACTTTATTGAGTGCAGTCCATTAAGGTTCAAGACACAAAATTCATGAGACATGAGCCTGTACTCAAGAATATCAAATTCTAATCCCAAGACAGCCGTGTAAGCAGGTGAAGATATATATATATATATATATATATATATATATATATATATATATATATATATATATATTGTGCTGTGATTGGACACATAAGAACACCACATGTGTTTCTGTTTTTTGGCTTGGAAGTGTCCCCTAAGGTTTCACAGACTATACTGAATTTTAGCTGAGTCTTAAACTAAAAATAAGGTGGAATGAATGAAACAAAAGAGAATTCCAAATCAGGGACTAGCATTGAAACTGAAAGTAATTTGATATAGTCATAGACAGACTCCATGTAAGAGAGTAGTAAAAACAGAGAAGGTACAGGAAGGAGTCAGGGCATGATGGTGCATTTTGTGCCATGTGAAGTAACTCAAACTGTATCTTGTAGTCACCAGAGAGTCACTGAAGATTTAAAGCAGGCCAAGTACAATCAAATTTACAATTCAAAAAGGAAAAAGAAGAATAGGATTATATTAATAAAACCTACAATAATAAGATTTGTTTGTGTGGGAATGGGGACAAGACAATAAGGATAGTTTGCATTCTGAAGTTGGAGCACTTGAAGAAATCTGAAGGAAGCTGTTTCAGAGGCTTGTAGATAGGTAGAGATTTGGAAATCAGGTAATAGATGTTGATCAGAAGTATTGATTTGGGACACATTAAAGAGAAAAACTCAGAAGATGTGTGGAATAATGATTGCATTAGTAGAATGCATCAAAATTACTTATTGAAATAACAAATTATATATGAAAATGAGAAGCAGCCTGCTACACTAATAGAAGGACATGTTGAAGAAATTATTTTCTCAAGAAAGGAGGATTATTCAGCATTTTCAGGTGCTACAGGAAAAGCAAGAGGTCAGGCATGAACTGGAGGCATCCATTGTATTTGTCAAATAGTAGATACTCTCTTGATTAAATTCATGGGTGTCAGTTCAGTGGAATAGCAGGGGAAAGCAAGAGCACATTGGATTACTGCAGAAAATGGGTGGTGAGGGAGTAAATACAGTGAACGTATGCTGTTTTTAGAAAAGATTGATGATAAAGGAAAGGTATAAAGTACAGTTGTGTGAGAGGGCTATGCAGAGTTGAGAAAGATGGCAGTATGTGTACAAATTGTTTTGTAGCTGTATGGAATGTTGGGAAATTACTTTGCCATGTTAGACAGTGTGTCTTGGAGGAAAGACTTACATAGATTATTATCTAAGGTTCATACTATAGTTTAGGAAGAGCCAGTTACATTTGTCAATAAAGTTACCTATTATGCTACCCATAAAAGATTTAAAAACAGTAAGATATAGTCAGATACTGGAAGTAGATGGAGGATAATAAATTAGCATTTGGAAGAAAAGAGGAAAAGAAATGATAAGACCTAGAAATGGATATGTTCTGTCAATTATTTGTAAGCAGGAGAGGGAACTATAATATAGGCATTAAGCCAGGTTAAAGGTAAACCTATCAAGAGAGAATGTGCAAAAACTGAGATATAAATTCAGAAAATAGATTTTTTTTGGTGCAAGTGGTTTATCTGAGAGGTGAATTCAGGAAGCACAAACCAGGATATAGGGAAAGAGAAACAAGGAAGACAGAAAAGCCAACATAATTTGCTGGTGTCTACTTTGCTCACTACACTCACTTACTAGCCCAGATTTTTACCTTTGCTCACATCACTTATGCCATGGAATGAGCCTAACCTTTCTGTCTCTCATGAAGAATTTCAGTTATGTGAATGGTGGGCAGAGCTTCAAAAGCCTTGGTGTCCTATTTGTAAAAAGACTTCAGGAGACAGTGATCTAAGATGGATGATTACTAGCTGCTCAGGATTGTAGCTCCCAGTGAAAGTGCAGGGAATGAGAGGACACCACACTTTCAGATGAATTTTTCTTGCTCACGGACCAGGAGATTCCCAGTGGAGAAGCCCCACATTTTTCCAGCATGACTCTTGTGGCTGGTGTGGTGGTTTTGCCACCACGTTGGTGCAGCAGTTCTCAGTGAAGAGTGAACGGGACAGGGTTCCCTTTTGGTCGACGTTTGGAGCTCCAGGAAGGCAGAGTTTCTCACTCAACTGATTGAAAAAGGGACTCAAGAGGGAAGCCAGACTGGAGATTCCCAGGCAGAAAAGCACCATGAATCTTAATGCCCCTGTTTTAGTGGCACATTGGGTCCTCAGATTTCAGTGCTGGGAATCAACAAGTTTGATGTCCATTCAGAGACCTAATTTGAAAGTCGGCAATTACAAAGATGACACGTGGATAAATTTAAAATTATGGGAAGAAACCAGCATAAAAAGGCTGAGAATATCCAAAATCAGAATGCCTCTCCCTCTACAGGGGATCACAGTTCCTCATCAACAGGGGAACAAGGCCTGATGGAGAACAAGTGTGTTCCATTAACAGAATTAGGCTTCAGAAGGTGGATAATAAGAAACTTCTGTGAGTTAAAAGAACATGTTCTAGCTTAATGTAAATAAACTAAGAACCTTGAAAAATGGTTTGACAAAATTCTAACAAGAATAAACAATTTAGAGAGGAATATAAGTGAAAGAATGGAACTGAAGAATACAATACAAGAACTTCATGAAGTATGCATAGGTTTTAACAGTCGAATTGATCAAGCAGAAGAAAGGATATCAGAGGTTGAAGACCGACTTAATGAAATGAAAAGAGAAACCAAGATTAGAGAAGAAAGAGAAAAAAGGAATGAGCAAAGTCTCCAAAAAATATGGAACTATGTGAAAAGACCTAATTTATGTTTGATAGGTGTACCTGAATGTCATGAAGAGAATGAATCCAAGCTGAAAATATTCTTCAGGATATTATTCAGAAAAACTTTTTAACCTCGTAATTCAGGACAATATTCAACTCCAGGTAATACAGAGAACACCACAAAGATATTCCTCAAATAGAGCAACCCCAAGACACATAATCGTTAGATTCACCAGGGTTTAAATAAAGGAGAAAATTCTAAGGGCAGCTAGAGAGAAAGGTCAGGTTACCCATAAAGGGAAGCCTATCAGACTCACAGAAGATCTCTCAGCAGAAATTCTACAAACTAGAAGAGAGTGGGGGTCAACATTGAATATTCTCAAGTAAAAGAATTTTCAACCCAGAATCTCATATCCAGCCAAACTAAGCTTCATAAATAAAGGAAAAATAAAATTTTTTCATGAACAAGCAAGCACTCAGAGATTTCATCACCACCAGACCTGCTTCACAAGGGCTTCTGAAAGAAGCATTACACCTAGAAAGGAACAACGAGTATCAGTCATCCGAAAAACTTACCAAAAAGTAAAGAGTATCTCCACAATGAAGAATCTATATCAACTAATGGGCAAAATAGCCAGATAGCATTAAATGACAATATTACACTCACGAATATTAATATTAATTATAAATTTAAATGGATTAAATGCCCCAAACAAAGACACAGAGAGGGAAATTGAAAAAAAATTTAAAATCCATTTATACAGTATATCCAGATCCATCTCATAAGCAAGAACACACAAAACTCAAAATAAAGGATTGGAGGAAGACTCACTAATCAAATGGAGAGAAAAAAAGGAGTTTTAACTTTCATCTCTGACAAAATAGACTTTAATAGTAACCGATTAAAAGAAACAAAGAAGGACATTACATAATGGTAAAAGGATCAATACAACAACAGGAATCAATGATCATAAATATATATGCACCCAATATAGGAGCACCCAGATACATAAGACAAGTTCTTAATGACTTATAAAGAGACTTGGACTCCCACACAATAATAGTGGGAGGCTTTGACACCACATTGTTAATATTTGACTCATCAATGAGATAGAAAAAAACCAGGAAAATCTATGATTAGAACTCAGACCTGGAACAAGAAAACTCAGTTAATATTTATAGAATTCTTCACCCCAGGTCCACAGAACATACATTCTTCAGTATCACATTACACCTATTTTAAAAGTGGCCACGTGATTGGAAGTAAATCACTCTTTAGCATTTGCATAGCATTTCACAGACTTAATTGAAATATTGGTTGGCTGTTTGTTTGTTATTTTCTTCCCTTATTCCTTCCTGTCTCCACTGTTAAGCACAATTATCAGCATAAAAGAGGTTTTTAATACCTATTTTTAGATTGCATTCCAGCCTTGGCAACTCCTGTTCTCTCTCCCATTTTCTCTTTCTCTTTCTTTCTTTCAAAAAATAAAAAAAATGACTTTGAACTGTCTACATGGTTCAATTAAAATTGTATACTTCCTACCAGGATTAGAACACAGTTTCAAAATTATTTCAAATGCCTGAGCAACGATCAAACCTGATGAAAGGTGATGCAGTCAATATATGGTTAGGGGTAAAGGATCTGGCAGCAAGATGAGGAAAAGCTGATTATCTAACCTAAATAACCTATGTCATAAGACTGTGGAGATAATTCCTATATGTACTTTGCTGCTTCCCAATCCTGAGCATATTAGACCTTTCCTGACACCCCAGATAGTGAGGCTCTTCTCTCCTTTCAGCTTCCTCCTTGGCCCCTGTCAGAGGACCCAGTATCCTTCTTGTTCTCACACGATCCTAATGCAGGCCAGAAATGATAGATTTATCTGCCTTCAGCCCAACACATGGCCATGAGTATCAAGTCCTCCTGACTCTCTGGCCCTGTGACCCTATTCTGACAACTGGGTCTTTTCCGTATGCCTCAGATCTGCCTACCATCTCCATTTTTATCTTCTACAAATGAATCCAACTTCCCAGACAACTATTGAACATTCAATTACTGGCTCAAGTGTATAAGACAAATTACTGGCTTTCCCTTTCTGCCTGACCAAGTTCAATGACATCTATCCTATACTGAGTTATGACAAGAAATATTAGAGCTTCACATAAGTGCTGTGAAGAGCATTGATTGATATCTTTTACAAACACACACTGTGAAAATGTATCTAGTCAAATGTTTTCTATTCAGAGGTGACCTGAAGAAGCCATAACTGTTTCAGCAGTATGTTGGGCTAATCAGAAAATTAGGCTGCCTAATCACG